GTTTTCTTGAGATGTTGAATTGTTTTCGATAATGAATTTTAAGTTTCTTTACCTCTGAAGTGATCTCGTCTATGTTTACTTTGAAATTTTCTTTGTTACTTTGGTTAAGTGAATATAATGTTTCACAGTGATCTATATGATTCTATCAGTGTTATAAACCCTTTTGATATTTATTGGCAAAACTTCTTAAATAACTTGACTTCTAGCTGACTTTGGGATGCTTCAGAGGGCACCTGAGACATCCCAAAGAGCTATTAAACTACCTGGGTTCATTGGACATGTTAAATTACATGGAAAGTGCTATTGAAGGGGTGATAAATCTTCTCAGATTATACTGTATGGTTGATGTTACTAATATAGATATCGTAAAATTATGTGGAATTCATATAGATCTGATATGCCCTGATAAAATGTGGTCAATTATAATTCTAGTTATCATGTTAAAGTGTTACAAGTTTTGTTTGTTTGTTATCTGGTAAACTGGTAACAGACTGGAATTTAGTTTACTCTCTATGTTAAGGGAACAAAGTTTTCTTAGAATGCAGCTTTTGATAACAAATTATGAATATCTTTGCCTTTAAGTTATTTATATTTGTTTTTAAAATCTTTTGTTACTTTGGTAAAGAAGTATTATTTAAGATTATTGTACGTGTAGACAATGTTCATTCTGCCTCTACAAAAAATAAGCCCTCACGGTTAGACTTCTGCTATCCGGATGTCTTTAAAACATGGCTACAGTCTACTACAAAACAGGAAATTAAAAATGGGTGAACAATAGCTGTAAATCAAAGAGTCAGTGCTATGGGAAATCCAAGATGGCCACTTGGATTTTCCCAGCTCCCTGACAAACCTCATTTTTATTTGATGAGTTAAAGCCTTCCCTGGCTACAGGGTTAATGCTCTCACAATGACAAAAAAATTATATTTCACTTATTAAGTTCTAGTTTTGTTAATTAAGGTCTGTGTTTACTACAACTCACTTCTGAAGTAGTTCCTTGTTGTTATGTTATATTGCTAAAAGGTTTGATTAATTGTTATTAAAGAGGATACTCTAAGTTTGTTTCTAAAGCTTATATCAATAACCAATCTTTGGATAAAGGTCAGATGCTCCATGATGCACAACCAGGAGACTCACACCTGGCTAGATTCATTTAAGTAAGCCAGATGACCTGGGTATACTGGGCTATACATAATGAAAGTTCTTGACTTAAATTCTGGCTTATGACCTTACTAATAACTGCTAGCTGTATTATTTTCTATGTCACTTGTTTCAGAAGATTGTTTCTTATGTTACTCCATATGAGATCAATGATTGTAATAACATAACTCTAGATAAGGGAAGAAACAGCAAGAAGGAATATTTTCCTGGACCACGAGGCTAGTGGGACAGGTATGGTGCAGAGACTTTTGCTACTCACAAGGCCTGGTCCAGTGACAGGCACACAGATTGGGCCTATCAATGGGATCTTCCCTAGACCTGGAAACGTGCCTTCCCAGCACCGTGGGACACAAATGGCTATGAAATGCCCCCAAAGCATGGCCAAATATGTGGCTGTGAAGGGACCCTGCTGACTGAAAGTTGGCACTTGCCAGCTGCCTCTGCAAAGATTACATCATGACCACTGCAAGCTGCTGACATGCCCTGAGACAAGTTCAGGGTGAAGATCAGAAATAAGGCACTCTGTGCTCTGGAAAAAGCTCAGAAGAATCGGCCTTCAGAGAGTCAGATGTTTTCAGGTAAAGATTTTATGAACCCAAATTCTTGCATTTTCTCCTATCTAGAGAAATACTAACATCACGAACCAATATCTTTGTCTACTCCTGGTTTTCCTGGCTAGCTCCCCAGCAGCTTTTCTACTTCTATTAATCTTTGGGGCCATATATCTTTAACTTTCTTCTAGAATACAACAAATCTCCAAGTGATAGTATAACAAGAATATTCCCTGGCCAACACCCAGACAATGTGGAAACAAACTGCCTTATCATTGCATGGACTCTCATCTCCCTCTGTAAATGCACCCTGACAGACAGCAGGCAAAGGGAACCCACAGCCCCATGATGCTCCTGTGCAGCCTGAAGTCAGAGTGGTCATTGCCCCCTTTCCCCTGAGACTGGGTTCCCAAATGCCTGAGAAGGGAAATAGGTAGATAGTTAGACATGAGCAGAGTATCAAAAGGGGCCAAAGAATTGGCCCTACAAATAGAGACAGGGAGGAATGTAGTGACTCAAGGATGAAAAGACCAGATAAATGCAGGGATAAATGCAGGATCAGAAAAACCATATACTTATCGTCTTTCCTTTTCCCACATTGTAACTATTAACAGATTTCAGGTCCTCCTGAGAAGTATAACCTCTCTCCCCGCTACCCCATGGGGAGAAGGTATTTGCCTTACTCTTCCCCCACTCAGTATATGTGTCTCATCCAATCTGCAAAGGACCCACAAGACCCCTATCCCAGTCCTTGTACCCTGTGTATGAAGTGGACTAAGGACCCCTTGTTCAGCAACGGTTCTCCATTGAACAGGCATGCTGTTCTTACAGTGTCTCCCATTCTAATAAACTTTATTTCCCTCTCATTCTGTCTCATGTCTGGAAATTCTTTTCCAACTCATGCCCAGACCATGACAATAGATGGTATAAAGAAGAGGAAATTAGAATATTTTATTCTAGATTGTTCTCAAATTGAAATATTATTTTTGACTGAGTTGAAATGAAAATTTTGTACAGATGTATGTTGAAAAAAGTGGAGAACTATACAGATGTCATGAAACAATTGGTACTTCCCTGAGGGGTAAGAGGAAAAATTTACAGAATCACAGAGCATGATGTGTCATTTAGCAGCTCCAGACAGCACACGGCATCTTTCCGCAGATAGAGCAAAGGGCAAGGAGGAAGGGTCCACGTCTATTTCTGGCATAGATTGCTTTGGGACCTGGAGGAGTAGAGTCTCACCTTTTTGAACTCAGGTCACCCCATATGCTAAGAAAATCCCCCCCCCCCCAAAAAAAAGAAAAGAAAAAGAAAATCCATAACTCAAAGATATGTTGTGCACCAATTTTGACATCTATAACCACAGGCAGATTTCAAAAATCAAGGCTACCGCAAAGCAGTGACTATTTATTCTGTCTCTCCATAATTTACAGAATTAATAAAGAATTGCAATAGCCAGCCACCAATTGGATGCCTATTGGAAAATTCTTGTTTGCTTTACACTTTGCTTGCCCTAGAACCCGTCACTCTTATCCACTTTTTCTTTGCATGAAATTTAAATAAAATGCAATTCTAGCTAGATTTGTTATTTAAATTGCAGTCTCCATTCTCTCCTTGAAGTATCTATATAGGTAAGGCTGGAGTTAGGCAAAAAGATAAGCTGGGGATCAAACCCGTGTTTTTTACATCTCCTGCATTGGCAGGCATGTTCTTTACCACGAGAACCACCCACCATATGTGAGCCCAAAATTCAGGGTCACAGTATCACACCCAATGTGAAGAGCTGATTCATTGGAAAAGACCCTGATGCTGGGCAAGATTGAGTGCAAAAGCAGAAGAGGGTGGTGCAGGATGAGATCGGAGATAGCATCACCTGCTCAATGGACATGAGTTTGAGCAAACTCCGGGAGACAGTGAAGAACAGAGGAGCCTAGCGTACCACAGTCCATGGGGGTCACAGAGAGTTAGACACAACTTAGCAACTGAACAACAATGACAAACCTGTTATACATGAATTAGGTAAAGTTCATTGTCTTCATTTGCTCCTTTACAATCTATCCTTTTCCAGCATCGAGTTAGATGCTAACTTTATACTTCTTTCAATGATTATCTTCATTATTTAGAAAAATATAACACAAATGAGAAATTTGAACATTACGTTTATAGTTAAAAACACTACCTCTGTCTTACAGCTTGGTGCACAATATGGAAAATGATACTTTTCTTACATGAACCATAAAACTGCTGGGTAGTTGGAATAGGAAACAAGAGTCCAGAATGGTGGTGGCTAAAAGACAAGGAAGGGAAATGCCCACGACAATAGAACAAAGGAAGGTCCAAGGACCAGAGTGAGGACCTCAGGTAGAACAAATAGCACTCCTGGCTAGCCCAATTTACATAGGGCGGGCCCAGGGGAGGAGGAAAAACATATAAAAAGAGGAGCCAAAGGGCCAGGGTTCTCTCTCTCTCTCTTCTCTTTGCATCTTTTGGGTTGGCATGCCATCACACCTCGAGGATGTATTTTGCTTTATTTTCTAAATAAAACTGAGCTGTAACTTGGAGCTATAATACTGATCTGTCCGACAGCTGTGACAGTCTGTCCAAGGGCTTTAACGTCTGTCGCTTCAAATTTTTGTTGTGATGAGACAGAATTGAGGAAATTACACACTCCCACAACAAAACCAAATCCCCAGATAAAGGCAAACACAAGAAAGTCTCCACACCTTATAGAAGAGATCATTTTCTTTCTTACCAAACGCTTGGTTTTCAAAACATTATGTGACTTCACATTGTTTAATCTTTGTGGTCTATTATCTAACCTTCTTGGGAATTGACTTCAGTAAGTACAATGTTCTCACAGTCCGCTTCCATCAATTCAGTTACATTGACCCATAGGTATATTTTGGATACACTCACAAGCACATACACACATGCATACACATGTGCACACATACATACACATGCACATGGCTTTTTGACTTTGAAGAGTGATACAAAAACCAGAGGCCCCAGAAACTAAGACAGAAGTATGGAGAATTATCTGGGAAAACTTGGTTGCATTTTCAATATTGAGCCCAACACATGATGTATAGTCTTAGTGGATATTAGCACATTAGCAAAATCTTATTGTGGAAATGTGTTTTTAATATGTATGCATCACTGAATCACCTTGGTGTACACCTGAAAGTAACATAACACTGTAGATTTTTGCTGAATTCAGCTATACTTCAATTAAAAAAAGAGAAGCCTGTTTTGCCAGCTCTCTTAAACTGGTCCAGGCAACACAGTACCTTCCGCAGGGGCTTGAGCTTGGTCTCCATGATGAAGTCATATTTGCACAGCTCACAGCAGCGTGTGTCAGAGCTCTTGATCCACTGGTGCAGGCAGGCCTGGTGCACGAAGCGTAGGGTGCCTGTGCAGCGGCAGGGCGTGATGAGTGGGCTCTCCTCGTCCCCTTCGCAGTGACAGATCCTGGGGAGGACACAGCAAGGAGGTGAGATCTCCTAGGGTGCACACCATATCCTCCTCCTTGAGCATCCTAGGCTTATTGGGATCTACATCTTCACATTTGGAACCACAAATATTTCAATTCAACTTAATGCTGGAGCTAAATAAGTGGTCAATATTAATTTCCTTTCACTTGCCTTAGTCATTGCTGGACTCTTAGGTCATATCCTGGGGCTTTACACACCTGTATATCAAAAATGCACAATCATTCCTCCAGGGAAATAAATTTTAATAGATTAACTATTGAGCTGTGTCCCCACTTTTATCTATCAAAAGTCAGTGTCCCAACAGAAAGAGACCCACAGACTTAGAAAACAAATTTACAGCTGTTTGTTTGGATGTATAGTTAGGGAGTTTGGGAAGGTCATGTACACACTGCTTTATTTAAAATTGGTGACCAACAAGAAGCTATCATATAGCACATGGAACTCTATTCAGTGTTTTGTGGCAGCCTGGATAGGAGCAGTGTTTGAGGGAGAATGGATACATGTATATGTATGGCTAAGTCCCTTCACTGTTCACTTGAAACTATCACAGCATTGTTAGTCAGTTATACTCCAATACAAAATAAAAAGTTGAAACAAACAAACAAACAAAAAAGTCAGTGTACCATTGTAAAGAAATTATACACACACACACACACAAATGTCAGTGTCCACAGGCACGAGCTTTCTTTCATATATTAAAGTTACAGTTTAGTATTCTAAGGAATGTTGGAATCTGGTAATCTCATTGTTTTATTTTGACAATAGTTTCAGAGGGTGTGTAATTTAGTACATATGATATTCTACCAATGTGAAAGAATTCTGAAAAAATTTAATGTGTTGCCATGGAATAAAGTGAATATAGACAGTATCAGCTTAGAAATATTACAAAAATTTTCCTAGGAAGATGCACATGTTTGTTCACAACAAACGGGCTAAACTTTAATAATCATCATTGTCATGAAAGTCTTTGGTTACAGAAAGTTCAGCTACAGCAAACAGTAAAGTTCAGCTACTGTTTTAAAATGTTAATTACTATGTCTTCCTAAAAGTTCTTATTTCAAGCAGTTTACTGAATTACTATGATTTCTAATGTCATAGATTCAGTCTATAAAATCTCCATTATTCTCATCTTCAAATTTTAAAAACTAACTTGTTTTCCTCATTGGATGAGATAAGCTTTTGATGACATGAGATCACAAATTCAAATCTTACAACTTCAATAATTCTTATTATCTAGAAGCTATAGAAGTTGTTCCTAAATTTGATTAGAAATATTGCTTGAAATCTGTTAGAAATATGAACGGAATGTTCCCAGAACACTTGTATAGTTATTTTTTGGAGCTGAGTCATAGTGACAGGCTGGAAGAATGTTTGAATTACTACTGCTGTTCTTTCCTTTCAGCCATCTTCACCAGAAGCAGTGCTTTTTAAAAAGTGGATTTTAAAATATATTTATCTAACTCAACTGTCTCCCAGGGGAAATGCAGTGGTTGGTTGGTCAGATTGTTACTTCAATGAGATAACAGGAATTGAAACTTAACCCTCCCCTAACTTCAAAATAAAGAAGTATGACACAGTATGCTAATATTTTGAATCTCTTTTTCTTCAGTAAAGACAAAGTAAGCAAACAGCAACACTGACTTCAAAAGTTCTTTGGGTGGAGTGAAAAGATAGAACAAGGGAAAGTTCAAAATCAATGTCTGCCTTCCCCTGGATGGAATTACAAAGTAGCAGTGTTGGGGGTAGCTGTCAAAGGCTGGCTTAGTGGGGAAAAGCTAAAAATTGAGATTGACATATATAGACTATTGACTGGGCTTCCTTTGTGGCTCACATGATAAAGAATCTGGCTGCAATGCAGGAGACCAGGGTTCAATCCTTGGAATGGGAAGATCCCCTGGAGAAGGGAATGGCTACCCATTCCAGTATTCTTGCTTGGAGAACTCCATGGACAGAGGAGCCTGGCTGGCTATAGTCCATAGGGTCACAAAGAGCCAAACGCAGTTGTGTGACTAACACTTTTCCTTTATTTCATAAAATAGATAACCAACGAGAATCTACTGTATATCTCAGAAAACTCTACTCAGTGCTCTGTGGTGACCTAGACAGGAAGGAAATCCAAAAAAGAGGAGATGTATGTATATGTCACAGCTGATTCCCTTTGCTGTACAGAGAAACTAGCACAACTTTGTAAAGCAACTATAGTCCAATGAAAATTTATAAAAAGATAAAACTAAAAATTATCTCAGAGCCTACTTAATATGAAACTGAAATATGTCCTCTCTTCAAACCTGTAGATCCTAGGATCAAAGCTTAGTATAATTTATATCATACCTGTTGCTGATAGAGTATTGATCAGTAGATGCTCGTTGAGTCAAGAAATTGGTCAATCAACAAACTATAACTTATTATAAAAGTGACTAAGAAAAGCAAATCTGGGTTTCTAAAGCACATCATTTTTTTTAGCTGTACATCTCCAATTAAAAAAAATTATTTTTAATTCAAGGATAATTACAATATTGTGTTGGTTTCTGCCATATGTTAACATGGATCAGCCATAGGTATAATATGTCCCCTCCCTCTTGAAACTTCCTTCCACTCCCCACCCCATCTCACCCCTCTAGGTTGTCACAGAGCCTTGGATTGAGTTCCCTGCATCATGCAGCAAATTCACACTGGTTATCTCTTTTACATATGTTAATGTATATATTTCCATTAAAGCACATCATTTTTATGTAATACTTATTTTTGGAACAACTGAACCCTAACAAATTATACATTATGAGTGGCTAATATTTCTGAAGTTCTTTGAACCTGTTCTCTCACCGACTTCACACAGAGATCCTCCCGTAGATCAGGGGCCAGCACATTGTGGTGTGATAATTCCTTATGCATGTTTTGGCAGATAACGTTTCTTTTTTTTTTGGACCACACCCACACACATATGGAGAAGGCAATGGCAACCCACTCCAGTACCCTGGCCTGGAAAATCCCATGGCCGGAGGAGCCTGGTGGGCTGCAGTCCATGGAGTCGGACACGACTGAGCGACTTCACTTTCACTTTTCACTTTCATGCATCGGACAAGGAAGTGGCAGCCCACTCCAGTGTTCTTGCCTGGAGAATCCCGGGGATGGGGAGCCTGGTGGGCTGCCGTCTATGGGGTCGCACAGAGTCGGACATGACTGACGCGACTTAGCAGCAGAAGCACACACGTATATGTATTGTTAAGAGCTGTGTTTATACTATAACTGTAGGCCTGAAGAAGATGCATGTGGCCACAAAGACTATCATCTTCACTATCTGACCCTTTGCAGGAAACATTTACATTATGGTGATTCTGAGTTAAAGACAATGTCTGACTGTTATCAACAATGATGAAAACAAAGTTTATAAAATAAATCACCCCAACTTTGCAAGTAACAAAAATTGAATTAAAAGTTCCAAGGAGAAGCATATGATAAAACCAAAAGCCCCGCCTGGCCTGTCACTGATGCCCGTTGACCCATAACAAGTCTGTAGGGACAGGGGGAAAGTTTCTTATTTGAAAAAGAAAAATGTGCAGTTAATCCCATCTGATAATTTATGACCAAAAAAATGGGTCAAATGCTGCACAGCTTCCAAGATGGTTCTGAGGCTCTGAATTTTTGCAAACTTGAAAAAGCAATTCATCATAAGTGGATGGAAACAGGGACCTTGTTGATTCTAGACTGACCAGAACTGAACCTGACTGTTGTCAAGACTTCTTATGTCTAACACATTCTTTTAAAAAATTTCTCCTGAAAATTACCTGAAGCATCACCAGCAATATTATTTTTTTTTCATAAAGTTAAGATTCTTTGCTGACAAAGGTCCATCTAGTCAAAGCTATGGGTTTTCCAGCAGTCAAGTAGGGATGTGAGAGTTGGACTATAAACAAAGCTGAGTGCTAAAGAACTGATGCTTTTGAATTGAGGTGTGGGAGAAGACTCTTGAGAGTCCCTTGTACTGCAAGGAGATCAAACCAGTCAATCCTAAAGGAAATCAGTTCTGAATATTCATTGGAAAGACTGATGCTGAAGCTGAAACTCCAATACTTTGGCCACCTGATGCGAAGAACTGACTCATTTGAAAAGATCCTGATGCTGGGCAAAATTAAAGGTGCGAGGATAAGGGGACGACAGAGGATGAGATGGTTGGATGATATCATCAACTTAGTGCACATGAGTTTGAGCAAGTTCTGAGAGATGGTGATGGACACGGAAGCCTTGCGTGCTGCAGTCCATGGGGTCACAAAGGGTTGGACATGGCTGAGTGGCTGAACTGAACTGAAGATTATTTCCCATCAGGAAAATCAAAAGTTTGGTTCATTTTCATTTCTGTTGCACAAGATTTCTTTTTACATGGTGTTAACATTTTGAAATTTTTCTTTTTTTTCCCCATTTATTTTTATTAGTTGGAGGCTAATTACTTAACAATATTGTGGTGGTTTTTGCCATACATTGACATGAATCAGCCATGGATTTACATGTGTTCCCCATCCTGATCCCCTCCTCCCACCTCCCTCCCCATCCCATCCCTCTGGGTCTTCCCAGTGCATCAGCCCTGAGCACTTGTCTCATGCATCCAACCTGGGCTGGTGATCTGTTTGACCCTTGATAATATACATGTTTTGATGCTGTTCTCTCAAAAAATATAAAAGAAAGAAAATTTTCTAAGTTATCCAACTCATGTTGGTTCCCAAGAGTCTTTTTCAAACCATGTTGAGACTGTTCTAAATGGATTTGAAAGCTAAATATCAATTTCAAATGCCTACTAGAAATGAAAAATGAAGTGATGGTGCCATTACAGAAAGAATTAAACAATTCTTAAATTGACACTTCACACAAACCATAATTGCTAAATTTTAAATGAAAACATAGTATTAAAAATACAAACATGCTTTTTCCAATATAATAATCATATAGAGAAAATGAGTTCCATAATAAAAATGCATTATAAAA